GGTCCCAGAGGAGGAGTGGGGGGGACTCTGAAAGCAGTCGTCTTGGCTGAGGTTTCTTCTTTGTGCCCTGGTGAGCTGCACAGTGGGGTGGCTGGTGAGATGTCAGTGATGCTCTGTGTGTATCATTCCCAAAGCACTTTCTGATCTATCAGGATGAAAGGTTCTGGAGAAATGCTAAATAGTACTATTACTGTAAAATAAACATACTTCTTCAATATTTCTGATCCTAAAGTGGATCCAGATGCTTTTCTAATGGCTGCTGAATCTGCTTTGGTTTTTCTGTAGTGTAGTGTGGCTGTCTGCATTTGTTCAAGTGAGATTGGATGTGACAGAGAGCTTGTTGCAGCATGCTCTTGTCAAGTCTGCAAACTTTTATACATGCACACACACACACACACACACACACACATATATATATAAATGATAAAACAACTGGCTTACTGCAAGATAGCTTTTCCAAGTCTGACACTTCACACGTGTGCCGATGAACTTGGAATAAACTCAGTGAGTTTATCAGTTTTTATGATCACAGCAATAAGTTCAGCTGTGTAGGGGAGAAATGGATTTGACTGTGTAAGTCGAAGTCATCTCCAAAGGAAGTGGAAGAGTCCACCTCTTGGTAGCTCTGATAACAAAAAAAGTATTAAATGACCCCTTGATACAAGCCACCAGTTGCATTTTCCATCCTGTGATTGAGCTTTGTAAGAGGTAACTTTCCAGCTCTTTTTCAAGTGTAGTTTTCCCTTGGTTTTAAGGATTATTAACTTTTTCATGGTTTCTCTCCTACAGAGAAGAACAAGTCTGCCCCACTGCTTAAGGTGGTGTTCTATATGGGCTGGGATTTTACCACTGCTGGTGCCAGGGTGAGATCAAAACAGCAGGAGCAGCTGGGTGGTCCTTCCTTCTGAGCATCCCAGTGGGAAGTGGTTCCAAGCTGATGTTTCAGTGATGTTTTAGACCCTGCCTAGGGAGATGCTGCTGCAGCATTAGGGGACACCAGGCTGTGCTAAGGAGACTTGATGGTACCTTGCAAAGACTGGCAAATGCAGAAAGTGTGGATGGGTGTTTTGCTGGTAAAATGTTATGATTTAGTAATTAATACTAACAGATGTATGATCAGCTATCAGCAAATCTCTTGCATTCTTAAAATCAGTGATGGCAGAATTTGTTACATGTTGTCATCTGCTGGCTCTAGGAGTATCTGCCCAAGGCTTCTTAGCTGGTGTGTAAGATCCAGGGCTCTCACTAAATCCTACTCCATCCCCTGCAAACCAGAATGGGGAAAAGTAAGTTTTAGAGTCTCGGTTTTCATTAAATTTGGATCAATCAGAGCTGCATTAGGGACATTTTTGCTCCATGCACCTTCTCAATCCAAGCTGGAGACCGTGTTCAAACTAAGAGACAGCGTGGAGGTTGCAGCTGATTCCCCACATCTGTGCTAAGCGCTGTGTGTACTCATCAGCTCTAATCATGCCTGAGACACGTTTGGTGTATTGATTGCTAAAATCTCTGTGAGCGCTCTGCAGGGACCAAATCTAAAAAAAGAGTTGTCTGCATTGTGCATATGAAACCCTCTGAGAAATGGGATTTGGGGTGCTGTATAGCTTTTGCAGTTTTATTCAGTCTAGAGGCTGTATAATTACATTTTATTGAATCCATCCCGTTACTCCCTTCTGGCGTGGGATGCTCCTGGACTGATAGAAAGTAATTAAAAATCTGAAGGTTCTCGCTCCTTTAATACAACTTTTCCCATCTTTCATCTAGTGTTGAGAGGTTGCTGTGCTTTCCTGAGTTTTTTTTTGGCTTCCTACTTCAACAGGGGAAGAAATGTCAAAGGAAAAGAAAGTAGGCAGCATGTACTTAGCAGAACTTAAAGGTGGCTCAGGCTCCTTGGTTAACCTCCTTTTCTTGGAATGACCATGAATTCTTGGAATATTAAGTTTCCTATCTTGTTGCATGAGTTTGGTATTATAGCAGTGCTGATTTTCCAGTACAAGATGTCTGGTCTTTGTTTCAAAACAGACTGAGATACTGATGCCCCTTACCGCATCACTGGTACTAGCTGGATTTACCCTGTCTGGAAATACCTGACATCATCTGATGTATGCAGTCACTTGCTGCCATGCAAGGGTAATTGCTTGCTGACCCATGGAAGACTTCTCTTTTTTTTCTTTCTTTTTTTCATGGAAACTTATTGTGTGCTTTGAACTGCTGAGAAGTACTCAAGAAGACATAAACCCGTGAGTTACTACAGGCTGCACGCCTGGAACATGCAGGCCACCTCAACATATGGAGTAAATCAGTACGCCTCCACTGACTTCAGTGCAGCTGCATCTATTACAGCGCACAGTAAACCTGCTCCAGACTGTAGGGATGTTCACGGTCTGTGAACAGTGAATATGAAAAAAACCTCCCTTCTTTCTCTCCTTTTCATAGCTTTACACTTGATGAACAGTATAAATGTGCCACGAGTGGAGGTGAAATAGTAAATTATTTTTGCCTGTATTCAGATTACTTTATTTGGACATATGCTAAGTTCTCTCTCATTCCCCATAGTTCCTAAATCAAGTAGCTGATTAATGCAAGCACTTGGTTACTGGCACTCAAAAATACATCAGTGATTAGTTCAGAGATAGAGATTGGTGTTTAAAAAAACTCCAAACACCATATATGCACCTGCACGAAAACGAGTCAGGCAGAACTGACTCTGCATAAAAACGGGGTGGGCAGCACCCTTGTAAGCCACAGGACTGTGGAAGAGGAGCTGCTTTTCTGTTTACGTGTGCCAGGAGAAGCAGTGCTATCAGGCTTATGGGTGATGGATCAGAGTGCAGTGGTATTGCTGCAAGCAAAAGTCATGAATTTTAATCAACTTTACTGGCTGCCTTGAAATTTGAGTTGAAAGATAAATGTGAAAAACAGGCAGCCCATATTGTTTCTGGAACAAAACTGCCCCTTCCCTATTGATTAAAAGATATTTTTTTTTCTTTTAACTTGATAATCAGAAATACTTCCATGTTAGTTCTGGGTTGGTTTTTTGGGATTTTTGTTTTTTTTTTAGGCTAACCCTTTAGGTCCTGCTAGCTCTGGGTGCATCCCTGAGCCACCTAAATGGCTGACTTTGGCTCCAGAGACTTTCCAGCCAGTGGGGCTTGATGGCTGTCTGAGTTCAGATGTTTGAAAGAAGATTGTCTTAGGGTGTTATTTAAATATTCTTAATGTTTAAGGAAAAAGAAAAAAAGGGTGGGGGGAGGAGACTTGCCTGGTGAAAACTGCTGGGTGGACCATCCAGGGAGTAGGAGTCTGGTTTATATTCATTGGGGAAATTTGGCACAGGCAACATATCCTTCTCCTGTGTTGCTCCAGGGCTGCTTCTGAAGATATGTAGTTGCCATATTCATTTGGGCATTGGTCTTCCTAATTAAATACAAGTGATTTGAATGCTGATGGTGTCTGCAGGGAGCATCTAAGCTTTGGGAAGTGAACTGAAACTCTTAGCTCATGTCCTTAGAGAGGAATACACACGCACCATGTCATTTCCAGCCACTGCCAGACTGGTCCAGATTACTTTGACTAATTGAGAGTGCTTTCCTTACTCCTCTGTCCGTAAGTTTGCTTCAGGGGTTATCATAGCCGCTTTTCCTGTTTTGCCATTAAGTCACCTCTTTGCAGGAATAAGTTTGAAGGGTTCTATTAAAGGCCAGATAACTTTTAAGAAAGGAAAGGGGAAAATCAGCCTACAAGCACCGGGGAAGAAGAAAAAGTTGTTGGGGTATGCCTGAGTCACACTGCTCTTCTCTCTGCATCAAGTGCTGTGTTGTTTTCTCTTACGATCTTCTGTGGTTTAACTCCATGCCTAGTTTCTCATCTCCCTGATAACTGCAGGTTCAGCAACTGCTCTGTATTAATGAAGAGCTCGTTTCAGCTGCAGCAGAGGCTTATTCGATCCTCTTGGAAATCCTTGCTGCTTTCACTAGTGAGAAAAACAGTATGTTTCGGGGCCTGAATGAGTGTGAAAGGGCACACACAAACCTGCAAAGTACAAATTCCAGCTTGTTTGTACTCTGAGTTGGTTACACCCTTGGCTCAGAACCCAAATATTTCAAGAATTTGGGTTGAGGTATATCCTTTCCCAAAAGAGGCATGAAGTTAGAGTCCCCTTTTGCATCAATGGGGGCAGTTTCTGTAAGGTCACTGAGTATCTGCTTGAAGCAGGATGTTAATTCCTGCAAGGCATGTCCAGAGCCTTGGGGAGGGGAGGCGATACTTCGCTCCACTATGAGAACTTGGTGGCTGCTTCTTGCACGGTTGAGGTGACTCAGCTCTTGCTTTGGTATGCTTGCTGTAAAGGAAACCCACCTTATTTCCAGGCCCCTTTACAGGAGCTGGGATGCCTTATAGTGCCACACTTTGCTGTAAGTGCTATGGCTGCTTACCCCAGTGACTGATTTATTAATGTTTTTCTCCCTGAGGCCTTCAAAGCATGTACATACACTGAAGCAGAAGATGAGTTTCACTAAGGAGGCTCATTTCAGATGCAAATGCTCTATGGGCTGCTGCACAAATGAAGCCTGCCTGATTTTATAATATTGTTTTAAATTGTTTATTTATTTTAATGTCCCATTGTAACTACTCTCTGCTTTGCTTTTTTTACTCCACCTTTCTATGTTGCCCTGCTGCTGGTCTGGAGGTTGGGTGGTGGGAACAGGTTTGGTGGCATTTACCAGTTGTCCTATTACGCTGTGGTGGGATTCAGCATGGATGACTAGTAGGGTTGTTATTATTCCCGATATTATTCCTGGTACTATTTCCCTATAATACTGAAGGGAAGAGAGAATTTGCTGGTGCCTCAAGGTGTCCTAATGTGTCCACACACTGGGTAATCAGCTGCCTGAGAAGGTGCATGAACATCATGGGGCGTGGCATGTTGGGGTGCTGGGGCAGGATGCGGACACTATGGGGTGAGTAGTCAGTAATCTTGCACATCCCTTTCCTTGCAGTTACCTGGCCGAGCAGTGCTGGAATGGCGGCTTCGTCTACCTGATCATGTTGCGCCGCATCAAGCGCAAAGCCCCTCTTCCTCCCTCCAACGGCAACAACAGCAACAGCTGTGACCCCAAAGCCAAGCCCAGCCCAGAACCCAGCGACAGGGCTGCTCAGAATGGGAAAAGGACCAGGAAGTTTGGGGTCATCACCAGAACACCGGGCAGCAAGGACAGCAAAGAAAAGCCAGCCCCGGAGCACGGGAACGGGCACTGCACCCCGATGGAGGTGGAGGTTACTCAGCCAGAGACCTTGGAAGCAGAAAGCAACGGGGAAGAGCAGATTCAGGGCACTGGGGGACAGTACCGTTGCCGGCTGTCAGATGGTGGTGTGCCAGACATAGGTGACCAGTCTGCCCAGGTACGTTTGCATTGGGGTTTTCTGGAGAAGGAAGCAGCAGGCGTGCAGGTGAATTAAGGGAACATCTCAAGCGTTTTCCCTGGTTTCAGTACTCCATCCTCAGGCTGAGCCTCTCTGGGTGACAACCCATGCTGTTGAGGCACCGAGCTGTGGGATGGGGTCCAAAAAACGGGGGGAGGACGATTATTATTAAATAATAATGGTGAGAAACCTCTGTCATACTCCATCTGTGATGCAGGGCAAGGTCCTTATATGTCAGTGCCAGCCTCAAGATTTCTTTTGTTGAGACAGCTGATGACCTTACACCATCAGGGCAGGACGTGTCAGTGGAACATTGTCATTTTGTCCTTTGGGGCTTCATTTTGTCTGAACTTAATGGCACCTTAAAGCTCTTGTTAATGTTGGAACTGAAGCCTCCTTTTTTGATGCACCAGACCACAGTGTTACAAAACTTGCTTGGCCAGTGTTTGGGAACCACGTGGAAGTTATTGTGAGTTTTTCTCTTGAGTTGATGAGATGGACGATTTGTTAATGTTTGGGATGACAGTGGGATTGGGGCTTTCATTGCTTCTCTCTTCTTCCTAATGGAGATCTCGGGGGTTTGTCGCCTGGCTAGAATTGCAGCATTGCTGGATGGAGAAAAACATCCCGAGCCTTGATCAGGTTTCAGTATGCATCTATCACCAGAAGAGCTGTCTGCCAATCTTTCCAGAGACACTGATAGTATAAACAGATGAACGCTGCTTTGCTGGGCTTGGGGCTTGCTGCAGCAGCTGGTTTTGGTTTTAAGACTTCAAAGCTGATAATAGAGCAGTACGAGAGGACGTCTCATCACTAAATTCTGTAGAGAAAAGCAGGAGTTTAAACGTGTCCTCTGAATTAGTGCCCCCCAGTACTACTGCAGGGTGGTGGTGATGGTGGTTGTGAACTTACACAGATTTAATGTAAAGTACATCAGAGGGGTAAAAACCAATTTTAAAAAATGCTGGTCCTAAAGAAAGGTAATTGAGAAAAGCTGCTGTTCCCATCAGGGAGACATGTTGGATTTTGTGGAACAGAGCGGGGCGTTTGTGTACTCTTCTGCAAGCCTTGTAATTGCAGTCTCTCTGAAAGAAAACATTACAAGTTTAAATAAAGAAATCCTGCAGTATTTTGAAAGCTCTGGTCCATATAAATATATATATATATATATATATATATACATGTGCATATGAAAAAGAAACTCTTGATCCAGAGCCATCCTGTGCTAGAGGTACCTTGATGGTTTGAGTTATTTTGGTCTGAAGCAAATTGTTAAATTCAGAACATGTATGTATCAATGTGAGCAATAAATACATTTTTAATGCAAAGCACATACAAGGTGGCTCCTTGAAATGTAAAAGCATAGTTGAGTTGCTGAAAATTCAAGAACTATAATCTGTTCAGTTGTGGTGTATCTGTCATGGAGTCTGTTGGGAGGTACAGCCATTTAGTAAAATTGCCTCTCTCTTTCTTTTAATTCTCTCTGCCCCCTCCTAATATTTTATTTGGAAATATGACCTCTCTTTGTCAGTACGTTTTCCTGACATCTAAATGAGGAGGAATATGAATAGCTGGAGCCTGAACAGCATGCCTTTATCATCCTTTGCTTTTTAAGGATGAGGGGACCTTTAGAAACCCATCACTTTAAGATCCACGGGGTAGCTGCTATCAGAGTAATGAGTGGGTTAATTCAATTTCTTAGTAAACATTGAATAGTGACAGTGAAGAAAGTTTTCAAAATTGAGTCTTGGTTTTTTGTTGGTTTTGGGTGTTTTTGTTTTTTTTTTGTTGTTGTTTGGGTTTTTTTTTGTTTGTTTAAAATAAGGCAAGGAATAAATACACTTGGGAGCCTCAAATCTCACTTCCAGCTCCATTTTCAAAGCGTGACCTGGCACTCAGGCATGTGAGATCCAGTCGTGTCAGGAGCCTTTTGAAAACAGCATCCAGGATGTCGTGTCAGAAGTTGCAGCCTCCTTCCAGACTTCAAAGCCTGAGCCAAACATCTCGTAGCCGCAGGATGAGTTATCTCCTCCTGAGCAGGGATGAGGTACATTGGCAGGGCACCGTCTCCATGGGGAAAGCAGCTCCATCCCCACTGCCCGCCCCATGATCACCATCTCCTCCACATGTTGGCTAATTGAATATCCAGGGCTGTCAGCCCAGTGCCTTTGGGGAGCACTATATTTGCTTTGAGAGGACGAGAGCCAGCCTCCAGTGGAGCTGGAAGTGGCCAGCTTCAGGTGGGAGGAGAGACTTGGAGAAGCTGCTCAGTGACCGGTGCAGGACTTTGCTGTCCTCCCCACTGCTCCTTCCTCCTCCTCTGCCCCAGGACACAGAGTGGAGAATTACTGAAATTGGAACACGGAGTCCAAGAAAATACCTTTTTTTTTCTCCCTGTAGAAATTTAGTTTGAAGTTCTAAACAAAACGGGAGAGGAGTTTGGACTGGATATGTGTGTTTTCAGCCGGTGCTGTACTAAACCCAGCGGCCAGCTTGCAGCTGATGCTTTGGGGATGTTGGGAGTGTTTTTGAGGCATCCCTGTGTCTTCAGTGTCATTTGTTTTCAGGGTTCCTCCTCTCCCGTGAATTGGAGGAACAGTTGTTCCCCTGTTTTCTCTCTGTGTGCTGCTAATAACAGCAATGCTGAGTCGTGAAACGAGAGACGAAACAAACACTGTTTGTCAAGTGAACCTGCCAGGAGATTCCTGTGTTACTGGTTTGTGTGCATGTATCAGTACCCTTCTTCAGGCTTGCTTTCATCTCCCATATCTTGGTCTTTGCGCTTGGCATTGCTATCGCTATGTATAAACAAATCTGCCAGGCTGTTTGCTGGTATGTAACCCTCAGTAAATATTGTACCTGTCAATTAGCAGGCAGCATTTAATGTTTACAGGTGGTTAAGTTATGCTGCAATATTTTTAGGATGAACCTAAACGCCCTCTAAAATGTGGGAATTCAAAGCACAAGGTTGTATCTGCCTGGCAGGAATATCTCAAAGTTCTGGAAGACTGCCCTTGCAGAGGACCCAGACTGGCTGCAGTGGGAGTTGTGGGCAGTGATTTAAGACCGGGCAGCTCTGAGCTGGAGTAATGGTCCGTCACATCCTGGGAAGATAAGCCCAAATACAGAAATCAAAATTTACTTCTATTCAGTCATCTGAGATGGCGTATTTTTGAAGGCTGGTAATTATAAAAGCACAGATGAAAGAGCAATATGGGGAGGGGCTGCTGGAGTCAGCCAAAAACTGATGAAGAAAATGAAAAACTGAGGTTTCTTTGCAATGTATCAGTTTTGTGATTTCTCTGTGTTTACCAGTAGGACAGAATCCCTTGGTTTAGTTCTCAGTGTCTCTACTGTGGTGGTTTTGGAAGAGCTGTGGACTGCTCCTTAGCTCTTCAGCCCCTAAGAAGTGCCCAGAGGTAGCCAGACGCCTCTGGCAACAGGCAGGGATCGTAAGTTGGACTGTGAAGGTTACAGGTCTGAGGGATGGGAGTGTACTTTTCAAAGGGGACTTGAGTTGATCCAGATCTGACTGGTGTGACAAGAGGCTTTCATTGATGAAGCTAGAGGAAGTTTGGCTGGAGATGAAGTGTACCTAGGCAGACCAGCCACCTTTACTTCCTCCAGTCCCAGCAGGATGCTCTAAAAAGTCCTTAAAACACCAACCATTAAAAGCAAAACAAAGACACCTCCAGAACCCTCTTGCTTCTGTATAAGCATCTGGATTACTAAGAGGTTGAAATCCAGATCCAAATTCAGCAGTCACCAGTGGGAACCGTAAAGGAGATTGGGCAGAGTGAAGGTTTTAGTAGTGAAGAGAAATAGGTGAGAGAGGCTGGGGCTCTGCATTTGGGCATTTCTCCACTGGGAGAAATACATAGCATGGGAGAAGTGCAGGGTGTGCAGCAGGTCTCCTGGGCTGGTAGTAGCACTGCAATGTGGGGATGTGGTGGGATGCCTTTCCAGGATGGAAACCAGTCTGCATCTGGTGGCCCCATGAGGTGTGTCTGCTGTTTCTCTGAAGTTGGTGTACCATCTATTAAAAGAAGAGAGCAGGCAAGGCAAGGGGATGTTAATGCCTAGCTAGCATTCCTAGCCAGCTTTGCTATCATACAGACCAGCTAAACCCAGCTTACGTAGACCACAACCATCTCCAGGCTCATGAGTTTATACACAAGTGCATATATGCATGCATGTATGTAAAAGATTGGCCAGCACTTGCTTTGTATTGCTGAAACTGCACAGCACTTGGTTTCATTTTGTCAGGGACTTTCTTCCTTTTTTTGGGGCCCATTATTGCTTTCCTACTAAGATGGCACATCTTGGGAAAGGAGGAGCATTTTTGAACTGCATTTTGCTTTGTAGTTACGAAAACCATTGGTAAATGCCAGCCTTAACTTGTTTTTTGGTTAATGGAAAATACTCCTTATCTTGCCAGGTGGAATCTTAGAGTCATAAACTGGTGTAGGTTGGAAGGGACCTTAAAGCTCATCCAGCTCCTAAACCGTGCCATGGGCAGGGATGTCTTCCACTAGAGCAGGTTGCTCCAAGCCCTCTCCAACCTGGCCTTGAACGTTGTCAGGGATAGGTAACCTGTGCCAGGGCCTCACCACCACCATGGTAAAGAACTTCTTCCTAATATCTAACCTAAATCTCTCCTCTTTTTTTTCTCTCCTCAGTTTAAAGCCATTCCCCCTTATTCTGTCATTACTTGCTTTTATAAAAAGCTCCTCCAGCTTTCCTGTAGGCCCCTTTAGGTACTGGAAGGCTCCTCTAAGGTGAGGAAGGCTAATGGCAGGTTACAGGAATCAGAACATGAGACTTCAAATAATGTACCAGCTTTAAGCATTTTACTATTTTTTTAAACATGAAAAAAAAAAAATCTCATCCACTTGCAGTACCAAAATGAAAACCTTGCTGTGAGCAAGGTACTCCACTGAAGGTACAGAAGCTAAGATGCTTTACATCAACTTTTTTTG